TAGATTGAACATCACTTCGGATTCGGAATGAGAACGCCAAATTCACTATTCATATTTTTCCTAGAAAATTTTCAGTTCAGAAAAATTTAATTTTGGCTCACTTCTCATGGAAGCACCCCCGTATCTCACGTAATTATCGAGGTAGGGTTATGAAATTTGCAGGAGGAAGGGAAAGTCCAAAGATAAAGTCAATTACGTAAGATATGGGGGTGCTTCCGTAAAAAGTGCGACAAAATTTAATTTTTCAGAACTGAAATTTTTCCAGGAAAAATATGAATAGTTAGTGAATTGGGCGTCCTGATTCCGAATCTGAAGTGATTTTCGACCTATTTTGACTCCTAATATCATTTTCCGGAAATTGGGGTGGTTTCATGGTTGTTGGCAAGCAGTGTATATCACTGAAGATGACCCTACTTTGTCATAGAGTGCATTTTTGGTACATCTCTCGCTCCCAGCAAATTTCAGGATCCTTACCCAACGATTACGTAAGATACAGGGGTGTTGTTTCTATTAGAAGTGGGTCACACTGTATATCATACAGAGAGCATCATTACCTCCCTTTACAACTCGTTACTGGACTCTTGTTAGGAAACTCGCCGAGAGCGGAGCACCAACAAAACTAGAAAAACCACTTTCCAGATTTTTTGTTTCAGATTCTGCCAAAACGTTGACGAGAATCGTATAGTACCATGATTTATTCTCGGATTTATTGTTTTATAATTATTGTTGAGTCCCATATTGTTTCGTATGTTTTTACCTCGGTTTTACAAAATGTTTTGTCCTCATTATTATCTGGTTTGTCATCATTATTGTCACATAATATTTTAGTTACCATTGTCTAATGATGGCCATAGTGCCGAAACCGGTTACTTTCTGCCGAAGATTTTTATATAAAGTGTGATCGACCAACTTTGTGTTTTTGACATCGGGGTTTTGGGTGATAATATCGCAGATGTGGAATAACCCTCGGACAGGTCGATTTTAGTTTCGAGGGGGACATTTTTTTCTCCTACATGCACTGCCGTCACTGCAACACTCGAGCTGTGGGGTGAACAACCCCTAAAATTTGAATAGGGAATAATGGTGGAGTGGCACATCTTCTGAAAGCCCGTTAAGTTCTCTATCCAACGGCGTCCCGATTTTGAAGTTGGGGTGAACCGTTTGGGAAAAAATAAATTCAGGAATAAACCTGTACGATAGTTAAGAGCTTATTTGTACGTCTCTAAAACACTCATTTGCAAGTTTTTGCAATCTATCATTTATTTGCAACGATACTGTGAAAGTTTTTGCTCAGTTTTATTCGCGGTACCCATGAAAATATTGTAATAAAATAGAACAAACAGATAGAGCATGCAGTTTCTGTTTTTCACGTGTGTACTACAAGTGAGTTTCATTCGTGCGTGGTCTCGTACGCAGTGTTGCCGGAGCAAAAATTCCAAATTTTCCGATGACTACTACGAAATTATCCGATTTGTAAAAATGTAGAATATATAGCCGTCATATAGCCGCTCAATGTTACATGGGACATGAAAGCAAAAAGAATACAAATAAAAAGTGCAAAACCAGAAACAATGCATCTGTTCTTTCATATTATGGTGCATACGGGTGCATATGGGAGAAACAAATAAAGGCGAATTTCCATAGATCCGGTATCCGTCGTATGATTTAATCCGAAAATGCTCCTAATGGTGGAATAGGGACCCCTAGGCCTTCCAAGGTTACTTCTACAATTCCAACAATAGGAACATTTTCTGATCTGTCTCTGCCAAAAACATTTTTAAATCATAATTCATATGACATGACATCATGACAATTACATACTGACATAGGAATCACACTTGGGATTCACAGGCCAGTATATGAAACCATCATGAAACACATCAGACTCACAAACACAAATGATACATATTACAAAATCATGAAATTATAGAACATAAATAAGCACGTTTCGTGGGACAAACTCCAAATGAAAAAGAAAGATCCGAATATTATCTGGTTTATCTGATGAATTCTTGGACCCGAAAAAGATCCGACAGCACTGTAAACAATAGATGTGCGAAAAGGGCTGCTGAATGGTTCAATCAACAATGTGGTAGGACTGTGTAGCGGCAGTACGTGTCTGAATTAGTATCAAAATTTCGAGAAACGGGATCGGTAGCAAATAAAAAACGGCAAATCGAACCGCCAGTAAGAAATGAGGCGACAACAGTGGCAATTTTGGGCCATGTTGAGGTTGACTATACGTTGAGTACAAGACAGCTAGCAACTGTTTCCGGTATCCAAGAACTAGCATTCAGCGTATTTTAAAAGTACATAAATTCCAACTGAATGAAGATGATTTTGATCGGCTTTTACAATTCTGTAAAGTACAAAGTGAGCAGGCGATTGCAAATCCTCAGTGTCTGTTCAACATGTGTTTTAGTGATGAATGTTAGTGTTTTTCAAATAGCATAGTTAATCGCCATAATGGACGTGTACACTTTAGTAGAACTTTTAACTCAACCCATGTCTATAATAATCCTTTTATACATAAATAATGATTGACGAGATAATTCGATCGAAAAATTAACTGGAATGTTTTATTTTTGGACATAAATAATAGTACCTTCTGAAAACGGACCTTCTTATGACGTTGAAACGGAGACTGAGGCAACTGATATATTAATTCTTTCAACTGTGATCTCGCGCTAATTCACTCTGTCAGAAATCATGTTTCAGTATTAGGGTTTTGACGTCACATCATCGCCTCGTTTTCAGAGGTCCGAAAAATCGGGGATTTCAATACTTTTTTATAAAACGTAGGGAGCTCCCAGCAAGAAACGGTTTGCGGTGGTGAGCTAATTTGGGTGAGTTCTATCGAATTATGAAATAATTTTTTTTTGTGATATAAGTCCATTGTTGATATTGGGCTGATTCTAATCCCCATAACCAGCTTCCCTAGCAGATTCACGGCAACGAATCACAGAAGAATGTCGCCAAATCACCCGAGACATGCTCCAAAATGTTCGAGAACGTTTTCAACAAAATCTCTATCATTGCATGGAAGTTGGAGGGGCGCATTTCGAGCATTTGTTAATTTGAGAATAATGTAAGTGAATTTCACTCTTAACTTGATTATGGCTCATTCCGGTTGAAAAACGGACGACCGTTGTTTCGAGAATTCAACGGGCTTTCAAACGATGTGCAACTCGACTTCTATTCCCTATTCAAATCTCAAGGGTTGTTCACCCCCCTGCTCGAGGGCTGACGTGACGGTGCTGCATGTAAGAGGGCACAATGTCCCCCTCGAAACTAAAATCGACCTGTCCGACCGTTTTTCTAGATCTACGATATTAGTACCCAAAACCATCATATCAAGTTTTCGATGGGCCACCCTGTATAATTACACAATGAGCATTATGTGGCTTTGGTGTTACGCCAATGTTAGGGTTTCAGATAATAATATGTCTGCACTCGTTCAAATATGTCTGCACTCGTTCAATGAAGGGGTACAGAAAAATTGCATTCCATCTCTTATAAAATATATCTGTGTCTCATGATTTTTGTTCAGCTGTTTAACAAGATGACATGAGACATGTGAAAACATTTTGAAAGTTTGAAAGAGTTCAAGGAAGTTGAAGAAACTTCGGGAAGTGCGATGAATTTTGGCGAGGAAATTTTGGGAGTTTTGAGGAATTTTGGAGAAAGTTTGTGCAGTTTGAGGGAGATTGAGGGAATTCGAGGATTTTGTGAAAACGTTGAGGTAGTCTGGGAAATTTTGCGATATTTGAGGTAGTTTAAAGATAGTTCGTAAGGTTTGGAGAAGTGTGAGCTCGACTTTGAGGATGCTTGAGAAGTTTCATGCAGTTTTGAGAAAGTTTTGGAGAAGTTCTGATATTTTGAAGAGGTTTCAGGAAATACGAGTGAGTGCAAGGAAGGTGGAGTATTTCGAAGGAGTTTGAGATAGTTCAGATTTCGTAATTTCGAGGAAGTTTCTCAAAATCGAAAAAGTTCGAGAGATATTGAAAGGAGATTCGGACTTTTGTCAATCTTTTGAAGATGTCTGGGAGAATCTTGAAACATTTTTAAGCAAGTTTATGGAAGCTGGGGTAAGTTTTTGATGTAGTGTTGAGAAAGTTTGGAAAGTTTGGTGGAGTTTGAGACAATTCTGAAAATATATTTGTGTCTTATGTTTTTTGTTCAGCTCTTTAACAAGATGACAAGTGTGTCCACACTCCTCTTAAAGAGCGTAAGATAAGCGTCGACCATCGCCGCGGCGTCCGTATCGACATGAGACATGTGAAGAAATTCTGAAAGTTTTGATGAGTTCAAGGAAGTTGAAGGAAATTAGGGAAGTACGATGAATTCTGGAAAAAGTTTGGAAAGGAAAGTTTGGGAGTTTTGAGGAGTTTTGGAGAGGGTTTGAGAGAGATTGAGGGAATTCGAGAATTTTGTGAAAACTTTGAGGTAGTTTGGGAAATTTTGTGATATTTGAGGTAGTTTGAAGGAAGTTTGCAAGGTTTGGAGAAGTTTGAGCTCGAGTTTGAGGATGCTTGAGAAGTTTCATGAAGTTTTGAGAAAGTTTTGGAGAAGTTCTGATATTTTCAGGAGGTTTAAGGAAATACGAGTGAGTTCAAGAGGAAGGTGGAGTATTCCGAAGAAGTTTGAGATAGTTTAGATTCGTTATTTCGAGAAAGATCGAGAAAGTTTCTGAAAATAGAAAAAGATCGGAGTTTTGGCAATCATTTGAAGAAGTCTGGGAAAATATGGAAACATTTTCGAGCAAGTTTATGGAAGCTCGGGTAAGTTTTTGATGTAGTTTGAAGGAAGTTTGTGAAGTTCAAGAAATGTTGAGGAAGTTTGATGACGTTCGAGACAATTCTAAAGAAATTCTTGTATTTTGGAAGGGTTTGGGGAAATCCGGGGGAGTTCAAGAATTCTGAAGTTTGATGAAGTTCACAGTTCGTGAATGTTTGAAGAAGTTCGGGAAGTTTATGAAGTTTGAGAAGTGTATAAAGTTTGGGAAGTTCGAGGAATAACTGAATAAGTTCTGGAGAGTTCGATAAGTTTGAGGAAATTTGAGAAAGTTTGAGATAATACAAGGAAATTTGAGGAAATTCAAGGGAGTTCAAGAGATTTCGAGGAATTTCGAGGAACTTCGAGGAATTTCGAGGAAGTTTGAAGAAATCCGAGTAGGATCGAGAAGATTTGAGAAAATCAAAAAAGTTTGAGAATGTTTGAGGAAGTTTGGAAAGTTAGGGAAGTTTGATGGAGTTTGAGGAAGTTTGAGGATGTGTTAGGGAGTTCGAGGAAGTTTGAGGAAGTATTATGAAGTTTGAGGAAGTTCGCGGAAGTTTTGGGGGATTTAGAGTAAGTTTGGCTCTAATTCGAGGCTGTCACTGTTGCCAATCCTCCTTCAGGATGTCGGCCATCTTCTCGCCGATCATCATGGCGGGCGCGTTCGTGTGCGCTGACAACGTGACGGGAATGACGCTGCTGTCAGCCACCCTCAGACCGCGGACGCCGCGCACCCTCAGACGGGCGTCGACCACCGCCGCGGCGTCCGTTTCGGCGCCCATTCGGCACGTCGAAATCTGGTGGTGCAAGGTGACGGTGAGACTGCGCAGAGCGCACGCCCAGTAGGGGTCGCTGTCGAAGATGAAGTTTTCGCATCCTGAACAAAAAATCACGAAAATAAATACAAAAAGCTCAAAGTCAGCTCAAAGTAATTTACACACAATGTTGATGAAATGAATAACAATGGTAGATTTCGGGAGAAAAACAAATACTTTCATGGCTAATGCCACGCAGAACATTGAAATACATCCTACCAAAATCTATGCATCGACTCGTATAAACGAATACCTCGACGAATACTGATGCAAGTGATTCTTTCCTGAATGCCTATTGATTTCGATTTAGCCAGGCAAGGCTAGACACCTACAATCAATCATCAATCAATCAATAATGTTGCCGGGGTAGCAACGAGTGAGACCAAGTCCCATCTCCCTCTCACAAGATTCTCATAGGGGATGACTGCCGTTCACCTTTCTTTCGAATTATATAGACAGCACCCCGGGGAGAAATGGAGGATTTGGATACGCCAAATCAGCGCGCTAGAGCCATCTCCGTTATGTAACGGCATGTTCTCCTGCTAACATTTCATTATACCAATGGTGAGGCCGTCTGATAAGACAGACTACTAGCTCTGCAGTGTCAGTTCCCGAGCAGAAAACGCTGCTCACCCGCCGAGGCAGGCAAGATATCCTCCCACTTGACCCATAGTGGGATTCTTCTTCATCTCCTCTACCGTAGTCCGGTGGTGTTTTTGGCAACCGCTGCCCCTGGAGTCCAACCCAATTGGTGAGGTACCAGGCCGTATGTACAGCCCGATGGGGCTATCCTCATCACCCCGGGTACCCATGTCAACAAGATTCCTGTTGTTGCGTTTGATGGGTCGACGTCGCAAGAGGCTTTAACCTGATTGCTACTCATGTTGACAAGAATCTTCTCGTCCCGTTGAATGAGTTATCGTTCGAGGACTTTCACACGTTCCTCTACCTCGTTTACAGGAGAGGACCCGGCTTTGCCTACGATGACTGACGGTAGGATCGCTTGGGGCTGCCCCCTCCCTGACGAACTAAGGCACAAGGTACACCAGAGTTCCAATTTTTGCTGAGCAAGCCCAGCTACCCATGTCGACCGGAATCCTTCAGTCCCGTTTGATGGGTGTCAGTTCGTGGCCTTTCCCACGTTTCGCTACTATGACAAGAGTGGGGACCTCAAACTTCTAACCAGTGGTGTCTGGAGTCACCTGGGGCTACCCCAACCCCGATGCCGTGAGTACATGGTGGGCCCACGGCCGAGCTAGACACCTAAAGGCCGATTTCGAGCTCTTTGACTCATCAGTGTAGGGCAGCCTCCAGCCAGCAGTCCTACGACCGCCGACTAAACGTAGCCTAGCCAAAGATCAATTCGGCATTATATTCTTTCAGGGGCGTCCGCCATAGACAATATGAGAGCAACGCCATCTGAGTAGAAAATAAGGAAAGAAACGCTTCAAAACCAAAATTTCCATACGGAAGTGGCTGGTTGGCCGACAGACTTAATTTCTACTACGAAATTTCCACAATGCTGAAAGTGGAATAAAATGTTGAATAAATACAAAAAGCTCAAAGTCATTTCCACACAATGTTCATAAAATGAACAACAATTGTAGATTTCGGGGGAAAAATAATTACTTTCCTGGTTAATGCCACGCAGAACATTGAATTACATCCTCACTAAATCTATGCATCGACTCGTATAAGGAATACTGATACAAGTGATTATTTCCTGAATGCCTATTGATTTCGATTCAGCCAGGTCACGCTAAACACCTACAGACCGGTTTCGAGCTCTTTGATTCATCAGTACAGGGCAGTCTCCAGCCAGCAGTACTACGACTGCCGACCTAGCGTATAGCCTATAGCCAAACAAAAATCAAGTCGGCATTATATTCCCTCAGAGGCGTCCTCCGTAGACAAGAGAGCAACGTCATCTGAGTAGAAAGGAAGGAAATAAACGCTCCAAAACCAAAATTTTCATATGAGGTTATATCATTGTTTTTCTGGTTATTAATATCGGATAATTAATAGCGGTACTATGGCTTGTCAGTCAGCCTGCACAGGAGCGAAGAAAAAAAGAAAACATCCAGAGTGGTTCTACTAGCTTAATGAAATAACAAGACATTAGATACTCACCAGGTATCGGTGTTTCGTATTGAGTCGCTCCAAACTTTGCGAAAGCTTCTGTTCGCGAAAGTCTCTGTATGTACCTGATGGCGCTAATCATCGTCTTGAGGTCGTGGTCTTCCTCGTCGGTGAAGAAGTTGCCGTACAAGAGGGGAGCCTCGAAAGGATCTGCTGACCTGAGTTTGAGATACCTGTAGGGGTTTTCATAGTTTGATTTTTTCGCCCTTTATTTTGGTGATGAGCAAACGCAGTCACGTCTCTGCAAGTTCACTCTAAAGTTGCTCGGTTCTGGTCAGAAGCATCAAAAGAGTTGTTCAGTCGAAAAAGGCTATCATAAAATGGGTTCTAGCAAATACAAGTTAAGTTTCAAATCGAAAACTGGAATTCTAACGAGGCATTGCAGACTCAAAGAACACCTAAGAATGCTGGGCTTGGAGGAGAGCAGCGGCTGCAAATTCTGTAGTGAAAACCATAAACTTCTCTCTATATCATGGTGCAATGCCAAAGGAATGCCATGAATAAATCTTTTCAAAATCCTTTATGAAGGTTCCTGAAAGAGTTGGAGTTGATGTGTTGCTATGAACAAGGAATCCTTGTATTAGAGAGTAGTAGAGATGGGGCACAATATATTCATCTATACCAGTAGCAATACCAACTACAAGTTAGAAGGGCAATGAAGTTTTGGCTCATGCACTAGAACGAGAAATGACAAGAAAGTCCTGAAGGTTCCAGAACCATTTTGCAGATTCAATAATCGGAATAGGATTCAATAAAAACCTCAAGAATGGTGGAATAAGTAATCAGGAATGGGATACCTTACAGAGTTTATAAAAAAATTACCAACTGTGAGAATAGGAGAACAATTATTAGAAATACTATAGTATTCACAATGTGAACATTTTATGAGTACGATTGACCTGGCAGAAAAAATATTCGAACAACGGTACACATACATCGCCTGCGAGTGCTTGTCATGGTCTCTAACGCTGTGAGACGAAAAATCAAGAGCTCCCAAATTCACGGAAGAACTCATAATTAACCAATGGAATATCATAGTAAAATCAGTGATAACGTGCGTAGACCTCAATAGATCTGAGAAAGCCGAGCTGTAGTGGCTGTTAGCTCTTGGACCTCAAGCTAATGTCAATTTGATGTTTATTACCACTAAGGGGGCTTGTTGAGCCTTAATTTTCTAACGCTGGAGGTAGAAAAACCGACATCGTCCAGATACATATAGAATATCTAAAAATTAGCCTATGAAGTTTTATGGTGTACAGAAAGAGCTACATAAGGAACTCCAAATGATTATAGTATCAAGAAGCCGCTGACGAGCTTCATGGCCAGGTTGGTTAGTGACTCCTAACTAATCACCTCAAGGCAGAATTATTGTAGATGCGAAGACGCAAGACTGTTTCATTCGGGGTTTACTACAGGCAGAAGTCTTTGTGATTTTTGGTTGTTTATACATAGGAATAGTTTTGCTTTAGAAACTGGTCGTCTTTCAGAGATGAACGAATCTATTAGTAGTGGTATAGGGCTGTTAACCGAACATCGCACCACATATGAATCGAATTCTTTCAAAAATGTTGGTGCACAACTGTAGGGGTCGCCAAGACCTGTGTTGATAACAACTTCTTGTCTTGTCTTGAGAAAAAGACAAGAAATTTCGAAAAATCTTGTCTTGGCGTTTTTCTTGACATATCATTTCTTGTATTGACTCAAGACATTTCAAAATCTTGAAATTTCTTGATTGACCGGTGACACCGTACATGGTGATTTCCTGGTGAACTTTTTATTGCTTTGCGTGCCAGAGTTGCCAGTTCGATTTCTATTTCATCAGTAGCTATACCCTGTCAGAAATCCAGTAGATTCATTTTGTGCCTCGTTTTGTGCTATACGAATTTCAGGAAAATTAAATGAACCTATGACGTCAAACAATATGTATTTTTCTGTGACGGGAAAAAAGTTTTACATTTTATCTATGTTGACAGGTAACAAAATGTCACTTTTCATAAAATTACATTTTTCCTGTGAAATAGTGAGATCTTTTTTAACAACATATCAAGCGCTCAGTCATATTCGAATTTATGATCGGTGGCCAGAACATTTATTTACAGAGCGTGCCCAAATATCACCCAAGATATCATGAGTCTATGTGATTAGCTGAAGATCAATATTAATAGGTGATTATAATAATGAATAAGTGTCATAATTTTTTTCAGCAGATTATGAATGTTTCAGTAGATCAGTAGATCAATATGCAAATCAGTAGATCTCCTGAAAATTCAGTAGAATTGGCAACCCTGTAGCGTGCTAACACGGAAATCTGGTGGTTCCCTGATCTTTATTTTTGTTTTCTGAGAAAAGCAGACGCAGACGGCGTTGCGCACTTGCAATGATGTCAGTTTGTGAAATGGTGGTAAAAAGTACGTTATATTGATATTATCTCTTATTTCATCATGAGTGATAAATGCACCTTTTAGCGTTTTCATTCTTGGTCAAGAAATTCCAAGATTTCTTGACGAGGAATCTTGGTACTGACATAAAATGTCTTGTCTTGTCTTGAAATCTAAAATTACTTCTTGTCTTCATCTTGTCTTGAGATCAAGACAAGATCTTGAAATTTCCAAGAAGATGGCGACCCATATGCACGAGAGTACTGTCAACGAAAAGTCACGTGTATATAGTAGGGGTGGGCGATAGTGATTTTTGATGATCGATTATCACATTGTATCGATATTATCGGTTTATCGATTTCATCCTTATTATAAAAATTGTCGATATTATCGATATTTTTCTATGAATTATCGATATTATCGATATTGTCGATATTTTTTGCATTAAGTAGGTACCTGAAAAGGATCATTGGGTGTGTTACGGGAGGAAATCTAAGGAATGTTTACACTGTGACGAAACAAATATATGACGCCTAATCCAAAAATGATGGTGATATTTTAATGTACGAAAAATAATCGAATTTTATGATGTAAACATCTCCCCATGAAAAAAATTTCAACCTTTACGCCACGTCGTGAAGTCATAATATAAAGCAAGTGTATATATAATATTGCCTCCAATATTATCCAATGATAGCGAAGCTCAACGCTCCCCTATGACTTCCAATGCTGTCTTCTTAGCTGGAATGGACTATGGGAGTGGGCGATTAAAATCAACAATCAACGGATATTTGAAAAATTATCGAAAATTATCAAAATTTTCATCGAAAATGTTATCTTTAATTATCGATATTATCGGTGAACCCATTTTATCGATATTATCGATAAACCGATAATTTTTTATCTGGATAATTATCGATAATTATCGATATATCGATAAATTTGACTATCTCTAGTATACAGGTTCAACGTGTCTTATTTTTTAAGAAGTCGATAAGTACCCTTTTGATTGCGGATGGAGCAGCATCGGCAGGATGGAAAAGCACGGTTTGCCCTCCAAGGGACGGAAGTATTCGCGGTAAAAATCCTTCCGCACTCTCAGCTCCGGCCTGGATACGAAGCCATAGTCGAATTGCAGGGAACCGATACCTGAAAACAGAACAATATGGCAGAGCTGATAGGTAACCCAGGAAAACGTTATCAATATACAGGGTGTCTGTTCAAGGTTGGGACATGGCTCTGCTGTGGACTCCTGTGAAAAAAAAAAAGTTGATTTTGGTCAACTCACCTATATCCAAAATCGTTTCGTTGAGTTGGTACAAGGCGTTGAAGTTTTTTTAGAAAAAAATGATTATTCTCATAGAAAGAGTAGACTGAGATCGATTTCCATAATTTTTGGCATGACATGTTCTGTGACTGTGAGTCACGTTTTCAGATGTTTTTTATTATCATCAGTGACCTGCAAGTGTTTCGAACAACCATGTTGCCGTACAAATTTGATGATAACTTTTTAGAGGTCAGACTGGAAACTTCCAGTTTTTTTCCAGAAGAATATTCTCTTCAGAAATATTTTTTTGTATTGTGTTAATTTTTGATAAGTCTCGAGGTTCATTCGCAAATGAATAATTTCTGATCTGATGCATCCTACACATTTTTGAAAATTAATCTAATTAGTCGGACTCTTTATTGATCATGGCCACAATGTATTCTTATTGTGAACAAACTGATACTTTGCTGGTCCTCGCGTGCTTTACAAGAACTCTCGCGTTACAAATTTAGTAATAATTATTCAGGACCTAAGGTGAGAACTTTAACGCCTTGTACCAACTCAAACGATTTTGGATATAGGTAAGTTGGCTTAAATCGACTTATTTTTATCCCAGGAGTCGACAGTCAAGTCCCAACCAGATTATTTTTCTAAATAATGCATAAGATGCTTCAGATCAGAAATTATTTATTTGCAAATTAACCTCGAGACTTATCGAAAATTAACACGATACAAAAAATATTTCTGAAGGGAATATGTTCCTGGAAAAAAAATGGAAGTTTCCAGTCTGATCTCTGAAAAGTTATCACCAAGTTTGTACGGCAATATGGTTGTTTGAAACACGTGCAGGTCACTGATGATGATCAAAAACATCTCAGAACGTGACTTACAGTCACAGAACATGCCATGCCAAAAATTATGAAAATCGATCTCAGCCTGCTCTTTTTATGAGCAAAATTATTTTTTTCCAAAAAAACTCCAACACCTTGTATCAACTCAACGAGACGATTTTTGATATAGGTAAGTTGGCCTAACTCAACTTGTTTTTACCCCAGGAGTCCACAGCCGTGCCATGTCCTTGCAAAAAATCCTGTTGTCGGCGCTGAATCTGGATCTAGAGTTATCCAGCAAAATTTGCTGATACGTTCTGCAGATATTCGCAATAAACAGCAAGATTTTTGCACTCTTTTTGTTTTTCCGCTGAGGTATAATTTGAAAAAGTATATTATTATGTGGTTTAGCGAAAAACAGATCATGCCTTTTTCGAAGAAGACTATAAATTTGCCACAATTTGAATCCAACCGCAGCAATGCAGGTGAACATAATATGATGATATGGCTGTAGTAACAGAGATGTGTAGTAACAATCACTCTGACATATTTTTGTACAGATATTCCAGAAGTGGAGCCGCAACCTTGGCCTTCTGGAATGTAGAGTCCTTTGATACAAAAGCGCGTTCGAACAGGAAATGTCTAAACAAAGTGTTTCTCG